TTGTTGCTTTTTCTACTATTTGATGAAATGATGCATCGGGCGTTTGTAGTAATTGTTCACGTATATGTGTATCTCGCAATCCTCTTATAAATTGTGAGCGCAAAAATAACTCAGCAACAGACTTTTTGCATACGCATTCAAACTTACATGAACTTGAACGTTGTTGTAAAACAGCTACAAATTCTGAAATACTTTGGTTCTCATTTTGCACTTCACAAAGAAATTTATGTTGTTCAACCAACGTATTCTTTCTCGGGCAATAGTGCGAATTTAATAGTTGAATTATATTATCATAATTCAATTCACTTATGTTCTTTGGGGCTGCTAGTGTAGCTAAAGTAGAATAAACTGATGACCCAATGTATTGCAACAACAATTTAGCACAGCTAACTTTGTCATCGAATACACCTTTTAATTGTAGGTGCACTTCCAAACGCTCCTTATAAGTCTTGAAGCTTTCGTTTTTGGTTCGAATGTATCAAAATTGGTAATTATGTTGACACTTGTTGAAGCCTGCGTTTGTTGGTTCTTCATCGCTGTTGCCATTGTGGTTATGGCTTCTAAAAGTTGCGCCAATTGAGCGGTCTATTTTCAAAGTTGATATTTCGGGGTTCCTTTCTGTCTCCAGTGCAATGGTTGCAGCAGTAATGGATGAGGACGAAATTTGATTTATTATTTGATCTTGAATATTTTTGACTTCTTCGTCCAAAAAATGTTTGAATTTGTTGTTGTTATCTATCGGGGCTCTGGATAAACAATTGGCATTTGAATTATCGATTCCTCTGCGATGGACAACTTTGTAATTAACATTTTGTAAAAAGGATGCATATCTGAAAAGTCTTGCTGACGTCATCGCTGGTGTTTTTGCACTTTGGTGAAAAATCCTCGAAAGTGGACGGTTGTCCGTAATTAGGGTAAACTCTCTTCCCATCAAGTATGTAAAAAACTTGTCAACAGCATATATAATAGCCAACGCCTCACGGTCCAGTTGACTATAATTTTGTTCAGCCTTAGTCAAGGCTCTCGATGCAAAAGCTACGGGGCGTTCTACTCCGTTTATGATGTGTGATAAAACAGCACCAATACCTGTGGGACTTGCGTCACAAGCCAAGGTCATAGGTAAGGCTTCGTTTTAGGGTGTAAGAACTCTATCAGCAACAATTTCTTCTTTCAGATTTTTGAATGCTTTTTCACAATTTGATGTCCACAGAAACTTTCTACCATCTTCCAACAGCTGTCGCAAAGGATGTGTTAAAGTTGATGTATTCGGAATGAATTTTGAATAATATGTGATCATGCCAAGAAATGTTCGCACATCGTTGACGTTTTGTGGTCTTGGCAAATTGATTATGGCTTCGATTTTACTTCGACACTTTGATATTTTGTTGTGGCTGACAACATAGCCTAAATATTGCAGCTCGGTTTTGAAAAATTCGCACTTGTTTCTGTTCACATGCAGTTGATTTGTTTGTAGAACTTCCAAACACTTGATTAATCGGCATTCACATTCATTTATTGTTGCACCATGTATTATTATGTCGTCGAAATACGATATTGTGCCTTCTAGCCTCGAACATGTAAATATGCCTTGTACAGGTCAATCTTGCAAAAATATGTAGAATTTTTGAGTGTATTGAAAATTTCATCAATTCTTTTAATTGGGTAATGTGCTGGTTCCAATTGAGGATTCACTCCAATTTTGTAATCCACACACAAACGTACATTTCCATCTGGTTTGGGAATGACGACCAATGGAGACCCCCAGTTGCTAGTATTCACTTTTGAAATTATGCCGTCACGCTCTAAGCTGTTCAATTCAAGCTCCACCTTTTCACGCAGTGCAAAAGGAACTTGTCTTTCTCGCACAAACACTTGTTTCGCACCTTTTTGTAATTCCAAACTGCACATCGAATCTGGAATACAACCAACTTGTTGTTTGAAAATTTCTGGATAGTTTTTCAGGATTTCATCCGCCGGTCGCACCTCGAAAATTGCATAATTGTCACTTTTTCAATTCCTAATTCTGCATCTGTAAATTTTATGCCTAAATGGCGTATCCAAACTCGGCCAAGCAGAGCTGAATGTTTCGAATTCACAACATACAATTCTTCAGTTGATTTTTTGTTATTATATGTGACTTGCACGTCAACCACTCCGATGGGCACAAAAACATCTCCCGTATATGACCGAAATGCCATATTTGCCTTTTTAATAGGTCTATTTATGTTTAATTTTTTGTATTCGTTCTCGGGAATTAATGTAAAGCCGGCACCAGAATCAATTTCAAATAATTGCACTTTTCCTTCTATTGTTATTTTTGCATAGAACTTTTGTGTATCTCTTTTTGACATTTGATTGTTTTGGTATATATCGATAATTTTGTTTATACCAACGTTATCGCTCATGGGGTAGGTTCCGTGTGTGCCATTGTAACTATTTTGATCAAACAGCTGATTGCACTGATCAATTGAATGTGTGTATTTACCATCATTTGATTTCTTTTGTTTCATCTTCGCCTGTATACATACTTGTTGTACATGACCAAGTTTACCACATTCACTGCACTTTAGCGTTCGTTTATTTATTTTGCATTCATTTGCAATATGATTTCGGCGCCCGCAACGAAGACACATCCCTTCTAAGCCTAATTCGCCGTAGTTAATTCTCGTAGTTGATCTTGAACGGTGTTGACTGCCACTTCTATTTTTCATTTGTCGGCATTGATGTAATTGATTTATTTCTGTTGATGATGATGTGTTTTGTGAGATTTATGTTGTTCAACCAACGTATTCTTTCTCGGGCAATAGTGCGAATTTAATAATTGAATTATATTATCATAATTCAATTCACTTATGTTCTTTGGGGCTGCTAATGTAGCTAAAGTAGAATAAACTGATGACCCAATGTATTGCAACAACAATTTAGCACAGGTAACTTTGTCATCGAATACACCTTTTAATTGAAGGTGCACTTCCAAACGCTCCTTATAAGTCTTGAAGCATTCGTTTTTTGGTTCGAATGTATCAAAATTGGTAATTATGTTGACATTTGTTGAAGCCTGCGTTTGTTGGTTCTTCATCGCTGTTGCCATTGTGGTTATGGCTTCTAAAAGTTGCGCCAATTGAGCGGATTCCATTTTAGGTTATGCACAAGATTAAACCATTTATTGAATTTACGCACAAAATCGTATTCACAATTTGTTGAAATTGACTTTATACTCGTCGCCAATCTTTGTTGTGTATTTTGAAATAAAAATCAGCACGAGATGAATAAGATTTAACTCTATAACTCTTTATTTAATATTTAACACAACAAAGTTTAAGAAAATATAAAAATGGTGATTGAACGGTTTGTATTGGTTGATGATTAAAATGGCAGTGCGTTATGCTAACAATAACTTAACATCCATGGCTAATAGTTGAAAAGTAACGATTAACAATTTAATACAAAAAGATACATTTTCATTCCAAGGGAACATTTAACATTACAGGGTTACCACCCAATATTAATTAAGTAACTACTGAAATACACCACACAGGTGGAAATGGACGAAGAATCAAAATCACTATTGGTGGTTAACACACCTTTGGGTTTATTTCTGCTACCGAATGTTGAATATCTTGAATATCAGAGCGTCCTATAGCTTACGCATCAAAAACTTTATCAGATAATCAGAAAAATTTTAATCAAATAGAGAAGGAGGGTTTATCAATAATTTTTGGTGTTCGGAAATTTCATGACTACTTATATGGTCGTAATTCTACGTTAATAACAGATCATAAATCACTTGTTTCAATATTCAGTCCAATGAAAGGAATCAGTGATACGACAGCGCAACGGCTTCAAAGATGGTATTTGATCCTTTCTGGACATTATACAATACAATACATGAATATGTCGATACTCGCTCAAATTCCGTTTAAAGAATATGACAAATTTGATAAATCGATTGAGCTAAATGAAATTTGTATAAAAGTTCCAGTTTCAGTTTCAGATACACGAACTGAGAATTTTGGTCAAAATTGTGGAAATTTAAGAAATATAAAGATGTCATTACCCGTCTCTTGCCAAATAAGAAGGTCAGAAAGGGTTAAGCACGAGCCAATACGTTATTATCCTTTAGTTATAAAGAAATTGGCACGGAGGAAATGATATGTCTGCCACTATATTTTATTACAACGTAGTAGTTTTAGAAATTGAGTTCACAAATATTTTATTAAAATTATGTATTCAGATTTGAGTTTCCAATTAAACAATACACATTATTTTCGATGAAAGGGAAGAAGAAGGGAAATAACGTAGGCTGAACAAGTGACTGCAACTGAACAAAGTCAACCTAAATTTCATTTATTATTTTACGAAGAAGCCAACCATGACTTAAACCAGCAAATTTTTTTTCTATGTAACTGTACATTTATGCTCTTTTCCATGGTACACTAATTTCCAAGTTAGGGCATAGAAATCACCTGTATACATTTTTTCTTTTGGTAGTCTTGTAATGTTATAACACATATACAGCTTTTTTATGCGTACGGTTGCTTTCCACTGGATTAAAATATTGTGAGCAAAGTGTAATTTAACAAACTTGTTGCATTCATTATTTATAAATTTCAAGTTCCAAGACTCTAGAGGGTTTTGTTTTCAAATTTAATCAATCAGCCCTACCTTATAGGACGAGGGTACATAAGCAGCTTGAAATTACAGGGGAAAACGACGCCGGGATTCGAGTGCGTCTCTGGTATTACTTTAAGATATGTCACAAAGAATGCCATGCGCATGGCACAATTACAGAAGGTAGAACAAAGCTACCTAAGTTTTAATAGGCAACACGTTGTACAATGTTGGGATAAAACTGTATTGTCCTACTATTTTAGATTCAATCTTGTGGAATAAACTCAAAATTCTATTCTTGTTTCATGGGTTTTCCCAATATAAGAATTTTGTTAGAAAATGAAAAATAAACAAAAACAACTGCTGCCTATTTAAAAGTCTATTTGACACTATAAGACTCCAGCTAGACTAGACATGCGTGGGGGATGCACGGACTTGTTTCTGTTCACATGCAGTTGATTTGTTTGTAGAACTTCCAAACACTTGATTAATCGGCATTCACATTCATTTATTGTTGCACCATGTATTATTATGTCGTCGAAATACGATATTGTGCCTTCTAGCCCTTGTAAAATTTGATCTAAAACGCGATTGAATTCACTTGGTGCGGTTTTTATGCCAAAAGACAGTCGATTCATTTGATATACACCTCTATGTGTTGAAATAGTTTGAATCTGCTTGCTATCTTCATCCACTCGAACATGTAAATATGCCTTGTACAGGTCAATCTTGCAAAAATATGTAGAATTTTTGAGTGTATTGAAAATTTCATCAATTCTTTTAATTGGGTAATGTGCTGGTTCCAATTGAGGATTCACTCCAATTTTGTAATCCACACACAAACGTACATTTCCATCTGGTTTGGGAATGACGACCAATGGAGACCCCCAGTTGCTAGTATTCACTTTTGAAATTATGCCGTCACGCTCTAAGCTGTTCAATTCAAGCTCCACCTTTTCACGCAGTGCAAAAGGAACTTGTCTTTCTCGCACAAACACTGGTTTCGCACCTTTTTGTAATTCCAAACTGCACATCGAATCTGGAATACAACCAACTTGTTGTTTGAAAATTTCTGGATTGTTTTTCAGGATTTCATCCGCCGGTCGCACCTCGAAAATTGCATAATTGTCACCTTTTTCATTTCCTAATTCTGCATCTGTAAATTTTATGCCTAAATGGCGTATCCAAACTCGGCCAAGCAGAGCTGAATGTTTCGAATTCACAACATACAATTCTTCAGTTGATTTTTTGTTATTATATGTGATCTGCACGTCAACCACTCCGATGGGCACAAAAACATCTCCCGTATATGACCGAAATGCCATATTTGCCTTTTTAATAGGTCTATTTATGTTTAATTTTTTGTATTCGTTCTCGGGAATTAATGTAAAGCCGGCACCAGAATCAATTTCAAATAATTGCACTTTTCCTTCTATTGTTATTTTTGCATAGAACTTTTGTGTATCTCTTTTTGACATTTGATTGTTTTGGTATATATCGATAATTTTGTTTATACCAACGTTATCGCTCATGGGGTAGGTTCCGTGTGTGCCATTGTAACTATTTTGATCAAACAGCTGATTGCACTGATCAATTGAATGTGTGTATTTACCATCATTTGACTACTTTTGTTTCATCTTCGCCTGTATACATACTTGTTGTACATGACCAAGTTTACCACATTCACTGCACTTTAGCGTTCGTTTATTTATTTTGCATTCATTTGCAATATGATTTCGGCGCCCGCAACGAAGACACATCCCTTCTAAGCCTAATTCGCCGTAGTTAATTCTCGTAGTTGATCTTGAACGGTGTTGACTGCCACTTCTATTTTTCATTTGTCGGCATTGATGTAATTGATTTATTTCTGTTGATGATGGTGTGTTTTGTGAGATTTATGTTGTTCAACCAACGTATTCTTTCTCGGGCAATAGTGCGAATTTAATAATTGAATTATATTATCATAATTCAATTCACTTATGTTCTTTGGGGCTGCTAATGTAGCTAAAGTAGAATAAACTGATGACCCAATGTATTGCAACAACAATTTAGCACAGGTAACTTTGTCATCGAATACACCTTTTAATTGAAGGTGCACTTCCAAACGCTCCTTATAAGTCTTGAAGCATTCGTTTTTTGGTTCGAATGTATCAAAATTGGTAATTATGTTGACATTTGTTGAAGCCTGCGTTTGTTGGTTCTTCATCGCTGTTGCCATTGTGGTTATGGCTTCTAAAAGTTGCGCCAATTGAGCGGATTCCATTTTAGGTTATGCACAAGATTAAACCATTTATTGAATTTACGCACAAAATCTTATTCACAATTTGTTGAAATTGACTTTATACTCGTCGCCAATCTTTGTTGTGTATTTTGAAATAAAAATCAGCACGAGATGAATAAGATTTAACTCTATAACTCTTTATTTAATATTTAACACAACAAAGTTTAAGAAAATATAAAAATGGTGATTGAACGGTTTGTATTGGTTGATGATTAAAATGGCAGTGCGTTATGCTAACAATAACTTAACATCCATGGCTAATAGTTGAAAAGTAACGATTAACAATTTAATACAAAAAGATACATTTTCATTCCAAGGGAACATTTAACATTACAGGGTTACCACCCAATATTAATTAAGTAACTACTGAAATACACCACACAGGTGGAAATGGACGAAGAATCAAAATCACTATTGGTGGTTAACACACCTTTGGGTTTATTTCAATATGAAAGATTGCCATTTGGCGTGACTAGTGATCCAGCTATTTTCCAGCGTCTGTTTGAGCAAGTAATCAGTGGTATTCCAAGCTGTGTTAATTATCTATATTATATAATAGTTACAGGAAACACCGAGGAAGAATATTTGAAGAACTTAAGAGAATTGTTCCACAGGTTAAAAAAAAGTGGATTTCGATGTAATTCTTCCAAATGTTTGTTTCTGCAACCGAATGTTGAATATCTTGAATATCAGAGCGTCCTATAGCTTACGCATCAAAAACTTTATAATAATATAATCAGAAAAATTTTAATCAAATAGAGAAGGAGGGTTTATCAATAATTTTTGGTGTTCGGAAATTTCATGACTACTTATATGGTCGTAATTCTACGTTAATAACAGATCATAAATCACTTGTTTCAATATTCAGTCCAATGAAAGGAATCAGTGATACGACAGCGCAACGGCTTCAAAGATGGTATTTGATCCTTTCTGGACATTATACAATACAATACATGAATATGTCGATACTTACAAATTTGATAAATCGATTGAGCTAAATGAAATTTGTATAAAAGTTCCAGTTTCAGTTTCAGATACACGAACTGAGAATTTTGGTCAAAATTGTGGAAATTTAAGAAATATAAAGATGTCATTACCCGTCTCTTGCCAAATAAGAAGGTCAGAAAGGGTTAAGCACGAGCCAATACGTTATTATCCTTTAGTTATAAAGAAATTGGCACGGAGGAAATGATATGTCTGCCACTATATTTTATTTCAACGTAGTAGTTTTAGAAATTGAGTTCACAAATATTTTATTAAAATTATGTATTCAGATTTGAGTTTCCAATTAAACAATACACATTATTTTCGATGAAAGGGAAGAAGAAGGGAATAACGTAGGCTGAACAAGTGACTGCAACTGAACAAAGTCAACCTAAATTTCATTTATTATTTTACGAAGAAGCCAACCATGACTTAAACCAGCAAATTTTTTTTCTATGTAACTGTACATTTATGCTCTTTTCCATGGTACACTAATTTCCAAGTTAGGGCATAGAAATCACCTGTATACATTTTTTCTTTTGGTAGTCTTGTAATGTTATAACACATATACAGCTTTTTTATGCGTACGGTTGCTTTCCACTGGATTAAAATATTGTGAGCAAAGTGTAATTTAACAAACTTGTTGCATTCATTATTTATAAATTTCAAGTTCCAAGACTCTAGAGGGTTTTGTTTTCAAATTTAATCAATCAGCCCTACCTTATAGGACGAGGGTACATAAGCAGCTTGAAATTACAGGGGAAAACGACGCCGGGATTCGAGTGCGTCTCTGGTATTACTTTAAGATATGTCACAAAGAATGCCATGCGCATGGCACAATTACAGAAGGTAGAACAAAGCTACCTAAGTTTTAATAGGCAACACGTTGTACAATGTTGGGATAAAACTGTATTGTCCTACTATTTTAGATTCAATCTTGTGGAATAAACTCAAAATTCTATTCTTGTTTCATGGGTTTTCCCAATATAAGAATTTTGTTAGAAAATGAAAAATAAACAAAAACAACTGCTGCCTATTTAAAAGTCTATTTGACACTATAAGACTCCAGCTAGACTAGACATGCGTGGGGGATGGACGGACTTGTTTCTGTTCACATGCAGTTGATTTGTTTGTAGAACTTCCAAACACTTGATTAATCGGCATTCACATTCATTTATTGTTGCACCATGTATTATTATGTCGTCGAAATACGATATTGTGCCTTCTAGCCCTTGTAAAATTTGATCTAAAATGCGATTGAATTCACTTGGTGCGGTTTTTATGCCAAAAGACAGTCGATTCATTTGATATACACCTCTATGTGTTGAAATAGTTTGAATCTGCTTGCTATCTTCATCCACTCGAACATGTAAATATGCCTTGTACAGGTCAATCTTGCAAAAATATGTAGAATTTTTGAGTGTATTGAAAATTTCATCAATTCTTTTAATTGGGTAATGTGCTGGTTCCAATTGAGGATTCACTCCAATTTTGTAATCCACACACAAACGTACATTTCCATCTGGTTTGGGAATGACGACCAATGGAGACCCCCAGTTGCTAGTATTCACTTTTGAAATTATGCCGTCACGCTCTAAGCTGTTCAATTCAAGCTCCACCTTTTCACGCAGTGCAAAAGGAACTTGTCTTTCTCGCACAAACACTGGTTTCGCACCTTTTTGTAATTCCAAACTGCACATCGAATCTGGAATACAACCAACTTGTTGTTTGAAAATTTCTGGATAGTTTTTCAGGATTTCATCCGCCGGTCGCACCTCGAAAATTGCATAATTGTCACCTTTTTCATTTCCTAATTCTGCATCTGTAAATTTTATGCCTAAATGGCGTATCCAAAGTCGGCCAAGCAGAGCTGAATGTTTCGAATTCACAACATACAATTCTTCAGTTGATTTTTTGTTATTATATGTGACTTGCACGTCAACCACTCCGATGGGCACAAAAACATCTCCCGTATATGACCGAAATGCCATATTTGCCTTTTTAATAGGTCTATTTATGTTTAATTTTTTGTATTCGTTCTCGGGAATTAATGTAAAGCCGGCACCAGAATCAATTTCAAATAATTGCACTTTTCCTTCTATTGTTATTTTTGCATAGAACTTTTGTGTATCTCTTTTTGACATTTGATTGTTTTGGTATATATCGATAATTTTGTTTATACCAACGTTATCGCTCATGGGGTAGGTTCCGTGTGTGCCATTGTAACTATTTTGATCAAACAGCTGATTGCACTGATCAATTGAATGTGTGTATTTACCATCATTTGACTTCTTTTGTTTCATCTTCGCCTGTATACATACTTGTTGTACATAACCAAGTTTACCACATTCACTGCACTTTAGCGTTCGTTTATTTATTTTGCATTCATTTGCAATATGATTTCGGCGCCCGCAACGAAGACACATCCCTTCTAAGCCTAATTCGCCGTAGTTAATTCTCGTAGTTGATCTTGAACGGTGTTGACTGCCACTTCTATTTTTCATTTGTCGGCATTGATGTAATTGATTTATTTCTGTTGATGATGATGTGTTTTGTGAGATTTATGTTGTTCAACCAACGTATTCTTTCTCGGGCAATAGTGCGAATTTAATAATTGAATTATATTATCATAATTCAATTCACTTATGTTCTTTGGGGCTGCTAATGTAGCTAAAGTAGAATAAACTGATGACCCAATGTATTGCAACAACAATTTAGCACAGGTAACTTTGTCATCGAATACACCTTTTAATTGAAGGTGCACTTCCAAACGCTCCTTATAAGTCTTGAAGCATTCGTTTTTTGGTTCGAATGTATCAAAATTGGTAATTATGTTGACATTTGTTGAAGCCTGCGTTTGTTGGTTCTTCATCGCTGTTGCCATTGTGGTTATGGCTTCTAAAAGTTGCGCCAATTGAGCGGATTCCATTTTAGGTTATGCACAAGATTAAACCATTTATTGAATTTACGCACAAAATCTTATTCACAATTTGTTGAAATTGACTTTATACTCGTCGCCAATCTTTGTTGTGTATTTTGAAATAAAAATCAGCACGAGAT